TGGACTTCTTTTCCGCTCCGATCAACGTGAGCAACATATGAAATATGAAGAGTTTTAACATTATGCGTTTCTCAAAATTTCAAATTCACAAAAGTAGATTTAACAATAAGCAACTTCTTTATTTTATTTTGAACAAGCAATTACCACTATCTACACAGAATGTGTTGTGTGTTTTTAATATGTATAAAGTATTAATACAGTATCCTAAAATATGTGCAACTGATTTTTAAAGTTATTATTATTGTTGTTGTTGTTGTTGCTCATTGTTTATGGCATGTTCAAGAAATGTTGTTGACATGTCAATTCTAGGTTATTTGTTCTACAGCATTAATTCACTGGACTATTGTAGTGTTTATGTGTAGAGTAAAAACTGAGAGTCAGTCCAGCGCTAATGGCTGAGAGAGTGAGATAAGATGACTTACATTGTAGTGCGACTAGAAGTCCATTCATTAGTATGTATAGTACAGTAGTGTGGCATTTGGGCCACAGCTTTAGAGAACATTGTGCTTATGTACGATGTGGCTGTGGCCTCAACAGCTGATAAACAAAGCACCACGACTTGTGCGAAAGCTGTGTCTCCTTTAATAGCGGTGAATGCTGCATTATGTCCGTTCTTTAGTATGTAACTGAAAAAATTCACTTTGAAATAAGGGCACAAAGACTATTTTATTTGTGCGTACGGTTCCCTTCTAATCCATTAACAGCCTTCATTCTGTATGTCCAAAAGTATTGTGGCAGCTGCCACTTGCTTCGGGTTGCCCTGTCTCCCCCTCCTTGAAGGGGGAATTGTTGCTGTTGTTGTTATTTTTTGCTTTAACATATGTTGTATGTCACAGTTGTCAGAAGAAAACCTTGTAGCTTCATTTTTAATGTTTTTCAGTTTTTGACAAAATTTGAAAATATCTGCTGGCCTTTACATTGTATATACATTTCATGATGAATGGATTAAAAGAAATTACCTAAAATTATTTGGGGAAAAAAGTCTGGTTCCATTGACTTACATTAACAGTAAGGTATGTTTTTTCCTTCTCCTGTAAAGTTACCATTTTGGAGATATAAGGTTTTCTTCCGACAACAGTGATGTGTTGTTTGTGCTATGTCGTGTTGGGGTGTGGTGAGATAGTGGTGAGTTTGTGTGCCTATAATTGGAAGAAAACTTATGGCTAGAAGTCACCAACTGTGTTTGTATGTGCCTTTTCTGCTGGTGTAAATAAAAGGGTGCTTCTTGTGGCAGAAACAGTGGCTTCTCCCTTGTCTCGTTTTACACCAATGCCACAGTATCCAGATACCTTGAATTCAGCCATGTTAAGGTGCACCCATTGCTGATGTAGGCGTTCAGTTGTGTTCAGTTCACACGCAGCTTTCCCATAGAAGCATTCAAAGATTAAGATTTGAAGAATTCAAAGTGCAGTTGTGCAGTGATGGTTTGTGTGATTATTTATTTATTTATTCGTTTATTTGAACCACCGTGTTGCATGTTCGTTCATTTGTATGTGTTGGGTAAATGTAAAATAAGGGGATTTTCGTCTTCCTTTCTGTTTGCTCTTAAGCACTGATTTTTTCCTGTCTGATCCTCTATGTGAGGGTGAGCTATTCATGACCAGCATTTTTTTGTAACAAAACTCATCACTGACAGAATGAAATGACCAAGACTGTGAACATGTTAGTTCACTTAATCTCCCAGCAAATACCACAATGCTATTGTTCAGGCTGTAAATGTTATTTCAAGGGCATCTAAGGGAAAAATGTTATCAAACCCTTATTTGCTCTGGTGCGTGAGTATAAATTCTAGAGCCAAAGTGAAGGTGACATAAACCCCACTTCCTCTGCACTTCGGTGAGCTTCTATGCATTTCTGTCAGAGTTACATCCCTTTTGTTAATCTGTGTCTGTTTTATTTATGTATATGATCAATTATTTAATGTAAATGTTTACTTTGTTTCTTTTGCCTGCTTTGATCTCCAGGTCAGTTCTTTAATATCCTTTTGGTCCAAACCATGGCGCTCTTTGGGAAAGTTCTGGAACCTGTCGGCTTCATGCAGTCCATGCGTGTACTAGTTGAGGGAATCTGCACTTATCTAAGTGGCAGTGCTACATCTGATGATATGGACCTGGTGAAGAAGAACTTGGATCACATTGATAATCAGCTTAGCTCCTTTGGACCAGGCCTGCTCACCGATCAGGAGGTTCACCGTCTTGAATATGACTTGGTTGTGGTGTACAATCAGCTAGGCGCATCTGTGAGAGCCCAGCCAGAGTTTACAAAGCGGGAAAAGGAAGTGTTTTTGAGTTATGTTCAGGAGTATCGTCTGGAGAGGCAGCTGACAGCATTGTACAGTCGTATGATGGGCATTTCTGTCCTGACTGATCAGCCCACCCTGTTAGAAGAGCTTGTGCGAAACCGTAAACCAAAACGCTGGCAGGTTAAGGAGTTTTGTGTCAAGGTCAGTGCACTGTATGTACTTCAAGTTTGTGTGCATGGGCGTTTGTATAAAATTAATCTCTACAGTGAAATAAACTTCAGTTTCTGGGTGGTGGTAGCTGAGCACTTGGCTATGACTCAAGAAGTCATGGCTCCATTCTCAGCTGATGGTGCCCCCACCATGCCCTTGAGCAAGGCACTTAATCTCATGTTGCTTCAGAGGGACTGCTGGCTAATGTAAGCAGTTAGAAAGTTAGGAACGTGTTAATGGACAATTAATTAGGCACCTTTGATAGGCAAGATTATTTCCAAGATGCATGCTGACCTTGATATGCATACAAGTAAAGTACATTTCAGTGCTTACATACCAAGGACAAGCCAATGACAGCTGATAACTCTTGGCTGTTTATTCAGGAACTGCATTGACCTTTATCTTTTAATGCCAGTGAATAAGCACTGCCTATAGCATTACAATGAAATAATTATTGTGTAACAATAATATAATTTCATATGTTGACAAATGTAATAATTTCTCTCATTCATTCATTCATTCATATAAATCTGGACTTTTTCATTACAGGTGAATTTTGTTCTTGGAACAGGTCTGCTGTGTCTTTTTGTAGAGTCCTCTTTGACAGGCAGAGATCAGGCCCTTCTCATAAAGAGCTGGTCAGATAGGATGGCTGCCCTGTACAGGAAAATGAAAAACACTGGAGGGCTCTGTTCTGGATACTTCCGCGAGCAGGCAGAAGAGGATGTCAGGAAGCAGATCCTGGAGATTCGGTGGAACACACACACGCCTGAGGAGCAAGCAGCAGAGATCCTAAAAACTTTAGAGCGAAATTATGACTGGCTGCACTGGGCTGTGATGGTACACCCCCCTGTGGGCTCCTGGAAGGAGGCAGCAGATGAAGCCAAGGAGGGAACTGAACAGCAAAGCAATCAACTCAGTCTGGCCTCTGAGAACTTCATCTCTGTTTGCTCAGAAGTACCCAATTCCAATATAGTCGCCTGCTACAGGGACACCCCTTCCTCGCTGGATAAAGCTCGCATCCATCAGCTGATAGTGGACCTGGAGTGGAAGATTCCAAACCCCCCACCCGAAATCTATGCAGCAATAGAAGAAGATCCAGGCAAGGCTAGACTCTACCTAGCCAATCGAATGTTAAAAAAGCTGCAGGAAGGGCTTGGCGCAGGTGTTGCTATCCATGTTGTACCAGGTAAAATGGAGATGAAGTGCAATTTTCCTCAGGCCTCATATTACCAATATGAATACAAGCACAGGCTGGCCTCTGGAACAATTTGTGTATTTGGGTAAATCACCAGAATTGATTCATGTTACATTCAAATGAGTATTTACATCAAGTAATGAATTCCCTGAATGTAAGTGTATCTCTGTATTGCTCAAAAAAATATATATATAGTGGGCTAGATGTTGTATGAACTATTACCGGATACTATAACAGTTTGGAACACAATTCCTATGTATGTTACTTTAAACTTGTGTGCAAAAATAAGTAATACACTTAATTAAAGTAAATCATGCTGAACATCCAAAAAAGTATTGTGTAATTGTTTAAACTAAACATTTCCAAATGTTCATTTACCACAGACTGATAAGTGCATTAGAATTATGACTGTGGTGACTATGGCAGTTTTCTATTTAGAATGCACTCCACTACAAATTATCATACTAAAAGTCCCTGAGGAATCTGAGTGTTAAATTGAGATTTCATTTATTATATGTCTACACAGTACTGTACAAAAGTCAGAAACCACCCTTCATTTACTTAATTTGCAGTCACAAAGGGCATTAAGTACAAGTGATCTTATAAATAAGATATTTCTGAAGAGATTAATTATAAATAAAATCTAATATGAAGAAGAAAGTTTGGGGAAAAATGGTTTGTTGTTCTCAGAAGAATGGACTGGCCAACCCAGCCATGAATGTGTTTGGGATTACCTGAATAGTAATAAGCAAAAAAAACTTCCAAAACTGAACTTCAGAGATACAGAAAAATATTCCTGCAGAATTCGCTGAAAGCAAGTCTCCTGACAAGCATGGAAGCTGTATTTAAAGCAAAGGGTGGACAAACAAAATACTGAAAATAGTTATATTTAGTTGTTGAGGCCCCTTTTTAATTTTCTGATAAGTAAATTGTCGCTGTTCAAAAAAAAAACAAAACAAAAAAAAAACTATCTGCAAAAACAGCTTTTACTTACAATATAAGTTAATGTATAGAGTATTTCTTCAAGCAATTTTGAAACATTTCTATTGGTCCAGTCTGGTGAAGTGTGGCTGCTGAGCTCAAATTATGTAGAAAACATTTTACAAATTACAAATTATACAATCAAAATCTGCAGAAAATGATTTTCTTTGGACAGTAACAATATGTTGTCTGCATTGTCCTGATGCTGAAAAATTAATAACTTGCACTTGATGGCCATTTTGATATAAAATCAAATAAATGAAAGGTGGTCTCTGACTTTTGAAGAGCATTGTACATGCTTTATGTACATGTCATGTCCTTTGGCCTCAGGAATTATGAATTATGGTCTTGAGGTTGGGAGCCCAAAGTTCAATCGCCACTGAGGTGTTCTCTGTAGATATCTGTCATAACCTCTGGGTAATTACGAAGGACTCTATAAAAACTATCCACACACAGAGAGAAGAGTTGACATATGGTCTGTGCTTGAACTGTAGACAAACGCCTTCCTCTGGTCAGGAGACAAGTCTCTGGGAAAGGCAAGAAACAACATTCATGAAGCACAAATGATCATTTTTCATCATCATTTTTATCATTATCTTTGTTTTATCAGCACCATCATCTCAACAGTTTTTAGTCTTAAGATGTATTAATTAGTAATTCCTATGAAACTAATATACAGAGCTTTTCAGTTTAATGTGTTAATTCAAAACATACAGCATCTTATTCTGAAGTCTCTACATTTGAAAAGACAATCTGTCTTATATCATACCTCCAAAATAGTCACCATCACACAGCTCCTGCTGAAAAGAGTCTGTCTCCAAAACTACCTGTCCATGCTCAATGAAGAACATGCGATCACCCGGAGTGTTCTGACACATGATGACATCACCCTCCTGGAAAACCTCATACTGTAGTTCTGAGACAATCGAGCTGATGAAGTTCACATCACAGTTCTGGAACAGGGGAACTTTTCTCACAAGGCCCGAGCACATGGTCATCAAAATTTCCTTTAAAAATTAACACAAGTTGAAAGAACTCATTCAATGTGAAATAAATATGATTTTAAACGCTCACTATTCATGAAATGGTACCTCTCTAAGTGATGAAGACACCCAATTTAGAACATCCTTCTCTTCATACCACTTCCCCTGATAGCGAGCCTGAAAGTAATTGCTTATGCGAAGACGCAAGGCTTTAGGAAGCTTCATGAAGACCATATAGTCTTCCAGATGATTCATCTACAATGGAAGATTAAAAAATCATGTACAAACAGCATTCCAGGACATGGATAGATATCTATCCATCTCTGATGGACTGTGTTTTCCTGTACCTTGCTCTTATATATTCTTGCTGGGATGTCTGCATCAGTCAATAGGGCAACAGTGTTGGCAACCAGGACTGTATACATAAGTGCCCCTGACACAATGCTAGTCATGACAATCCACAGCTCCACCTCATCTAAAGCAATAAGAACAAAAAAGATATTACATAAGATACTTATTACACAGTAGTTTAAAACAAACCAAGCCAAGTACTTATTGACTGATTAGAATTATGATGTTTACTTGTTGGTGTCTCAGAGGAACCATAGGATATTGCAGTCATATGTGAGAGTGCACGAAAGATGCCAAATGAATACTTCTCCCCCACTGTGGCATTCTGCAAAACAGACTTATGTTTTACTTTTTCATTAACGTTGTTGAATACAGTGCCCTCCACAAATATTGGCACCCCTGGAAATCATGAGTGAAATGAGCTGTAAAAAAATTACTTATTCTTTTGATCTATCATTCAACATACTGGCAAAAATCCTACGTTTATTTAAGATATAATGATTGAAAGAAAAAATATATTTTCATGAAAAAAATATTTCTCTTAAATCTTTGTGTGCCACAATTATTGGCACCCCTAGAAATTCTTAAGAGTGAAATCCAACTGAAGTATATTCCCATTCATATTTTATGTCTTTAAGTTCACCTGAGTGATTAGGAACGTTTAGATGGTCAGTCATGACGTCCTGAATCACTGGGAAATATATATGAGATGAAACACAGGCCAAATTCCTTCAGTCATCCATCATTTAGAGAAATACCAGATAAAACAGCACTGATGTGTGACAAAAGGTTGTTGAGCTACACAAATCAGGAAATGGCTACAAGAAAACATCTGAACAGTTGAATAGGCCCTTTAACACTATCAGGTCGATGATCAAAAAGCTTTAAACAACTGGAGATGGTAAGCATTTACTGGGAAGAGGACATTCTGCACACAGATTTGAGAAAAATATCTACTTCCTGATAAGATTTGAGTTTTTTTGTCAATCATTGCACTTCAATAAAGTTAGATTTTTGTTAATATTTTGAATGAAGGATCAAAAGAATAAGCAATAAAGCATGTTTTTTACAGCCTGCTTTGCTCATGTTTACCAGTGGGTGCTAATACTTGCGGAGGGCACTGTATATTAAAACAACAAGGTATGGAAGCCCATTTCAACAAAATGTAACTTAGAAAATAATAAATGAATCAATTTAGTAATTATAAAAAGATTTCTCAGAATTATGGCTCATTATCTCATAATAATGAGAAAACGTCACACAATTATGTTCTCATAATTACTCATAATTATGAGATATTGAGTCTTTCTCATTATTATGACTTACTAAAAGGCTCAACTGTGGACATAAGAAGCAAGTAAATGAACCTAAAAGATGTTTTAAATACTTCTAGCAAACATCTATCTAGTTCCAACGCTGCTGGCACATTAGACATGCTGTGACATTGCATAACTAAGTACCATAAGATTTTCACGCCGCACCCAGCAGTCTGAAGGGAATTCTTCCAGCATTGGAACAAAATACTGCACACAGCCGTTCCAGTGGCACAGGAGAAAAATCATCATAAACAAAGACAAAATTCTAAAGAACACTCGAACCACCTCCAGATTTGCATTTGAAACCTATTGAGCAACAAAATCCAACATAAAAAACGATCAGGATACAACAGAACACAAAAATATACAGTCGCTTCATGAAAGTTCAGCAGTGCAAAGAAGAGTGCACATTTGTGCAATGAGATTACAGGTATTATTCCAAAAAGTACTTACTTTCTCAACTTCATTAAAAAACCTGACGAGCCGGGATACACGCAGCAGACGGACAAGGCTGAGGATTCTCACAAACATGAGGATACGTACCATTTTACTGGCTTTGGAAGAGTCACTGTGATACTGTAGGTCCTGAAAAGCATTCAAAACTACATGAAAAACACTCAAAACTACAAAAAGTTCTAGTGTTTTTTGGGTACTGGCCATAGATAAAGGAATATGACCTTACCGCAATTAGTATTATGTAACCAACTGGAAATGCTGCTATCACATCTGGTATAAACCAGCTCTTTAAATAATTTTGTCGAATGCACTTTAGATCAAGAATTGCTGCCTGGATGATGGAGAGAATGTGTTAATTCATTCTGGACAGGAACATGTGGAATATTTCTGTAGCTGCTAGTGAGGGTCTTGAGTTGATATGGTTACCTCACTGTCCTCTGCAATTATGCCCATCCGAAAGTTGAGCCCAACGTCAATCAAGAACAGTGTGTCTGAGAAGACATTGAAACCCTCCCAGCCAACTCCTGTCTGGCCATCTAAAAAGGCAATCTCTATCGGGATCCCAATCAGGTTCAGAAAAGTGATGGCAACCATGCACATCGTGTAGTAGCTCCTGAATAAGCAAGAGTTAGAGCTGTTTTACAGCATCTTCTTATTAATGTAACTTTCAAAAAACATTTAGAAGCATACAGTACCTTAAAGGACTGAAGGGATGGATCACGAAGACTCCTCTTTCTCTTTGTCTGATGCACTCCCTCTCCACAGCCACTTCACTGCCGTACACATAAAGAGACTGTCTGTTTAACTGGGGCAGCAGCAAATTTTTCCAGCCATCCCAGCTGAAGCGTTCCCTGCCTCCAGGTGCTGCCCTCTCCATCTCTACTCCCTGACTAAGCACTGTGATCAGGGAGCCACTTTTAACATCATTGTGCCGCCCTGACAACTTTATTTCGGGACTTCTTTTATGCTGATCTTCTCTTTCTCTCCCTTACACTCTCTCACTTGTTCTCTCTCTCTCACGCACACACACACAAACACACACACACACACACACAGTAATTTTCCAGTATAGTTCTCCTGCCCTGTTCAAACAGGGTGGCAAAGAGATATCAAGTGCCAGACTTTCTAATCTCCTTCACCTCATTACTGTCATTCTCCCTCGACAGTCTCATCAACTATTCAGCCTCTCTGCTTCATGCACACATGAATGAGGCACGTCTGAAATGTAGACTGGCTCACCATCACAATGGGTGGTTTTGAATATCATGATCACATGTTATCTGAACCAGACAGGTGATTCTGACAAGTAAACACCTACAAGTCTGATGCTCGGGTGAATTATACTTTTCCTACACAGTAAAGCATGCATGTTTGGAAATATTCATGAAAACGGATAAACAAAGACACAAAAATCTTTAAAAATCTGTACAAAACAGTATTTTTAGTTTTTGTTTCATCAAAAAGATAAAAAAAAATATTTTTATAGTATTTTTGTGAAAGAATTTAGATTTCCATAACATACATAATGCAGGAAAATATACTGTGCTTTACTGCACTACAGATGCAGGTCACTGATTCTCTAGCTTTTTTTTTTTACAGTGTTAAATTACAGACTTGATGTTGCATCTCTATTCTCCCAGTAAATGTTCTGGGTGTCATGATACAAGGCCAAGTTTCAGTGTGGCATTCAAAATAATGTAATGGGTAACTGATCTTTAATTTTCTGAGGGTTATAAACATCATTTAGTGTTGCTGAGAAATCAGACACTGCTTGAAATAATTGAAGTTATTTATTATTTGCAAATAATAATAAATCACAGGTTGCGAGTAAATTATATGAACTCTGAAAATACAACAAACAACAAACATGTCCCTTTTACAGCAGCATAACTATCTTTTAATTTAACAAAAAAATACCACTTTAGCAGTTCAGATATTTCCCCCTCCATCACATCATCTCTCTAGTTCAGCGCCATCCCTGTAGTTCAGCATTTTCCTTCTAGGTCAGCATCAGGTGGGAAAGCATTATCTTACAACCCAGCATCTTCAATAAAAAAACAAACATGCCACATTCATTTTTAAATCTGCAGTGCAAAGCAAAGTAAAAGCTCATCACATTCAGAAAGGTTTGTAGCAGGCACTGCCACATTCTATGTGAATCTTTAATATTGCACAGTAAAGATTAAAGATTAAAAAGTATTTTAAGACTACAAGTAGGTATGGTAACTTGAGGCTGACTGAATAACTTTCATTTTACAAATGCAAGGTCTTACTGCTCATGCTCACAGTTCACTTGTCAATAAATCTCTGACAGTGCAGTTGAGGTGAATTGTTGATTAGTGAAGTTCTGAACTTCCAAGTCACACAGCCACTATATCACAGGCAGTTAGACAGTTTTAACATACACATTCTGAATCACCAGAGATGTTCAGCATTGTGCATTCAAAGCCAGTCTGTTACATGGATGAAAGACCAGAGTGAATTCTGAATAATCACATGGGGCACTTTTTACGCTGTTAAACGTTAAATCTCAGGGCCTGTGTGACTTCCAGCACTGTCTGACTTTTTCTAGCACCAAAGCTTCTGCTGTGTAGCAAAGATCAACATATGTGTCTTGGCAATTTACATTTTTTTGCAGAGGTCTTCTGTCTAGTCCTTTCATCTTTTTTTATTTTTGTAAAGAAATTAGACTACATAAAAGCAAAAATATGGTGAAGCTTTATAGATTTATATTGCCCATGTTGAAGCTGAAAATTGTCAAACAGAGATTTGTCAGAAATATTTGTTTCAAAAAACAAACATTTTAAAAAAGAAAATTAGGAACACCACTGATCAATAGCACTATTGACTTCCCTTTTTAATATTAAAATTCTCTTAGTTGCAAGTCGCCTAAAACTTTCCCCCTAGATCTCCTTGCCATGTTTTCTCAATTTCCATCATGGCATCAGGGAACTCCTGCAGAACCTGTCTAAAGTTATTCCCAGACAAGGAAAAGACATGGCAAGGGCCAGTCTCTTTCCTCTGGTCAGGAGAGCAATTTCTGCAAAAATAACAGTTCAATTTAATTTGCTGCAATTTAAAGTTGCAATTTAAAATTTTAAAATAAGACAGCTTGATATAGTATATAAACATTGCTGAAGTTTCAAAATGTACTGTTCATATACACACAACACACACACACATATATATATATATATATATATATATATATATATATATATATATATATATATATATATGCCAATTGCCAGTTAGACTGCATTCAGTGGTTGTAACAGAACAGACTTTCTCAGTACATGTGAAAAATTCTATTTATGGGGACTACGAAGCAGCCTAGTATTGTATGTCACAAATGAGCTTGAACCTATCATGGTTCAACATACTAAAATATGTTAATGAGAGGATTTGCCAGGCGCCGACAAGAGCCACAAGAGGCAACATGAGGCCAGGCCCAAGCGCCAATGACAGCCAGGGAAGCACTGCTGATGCCAAACCAGTGTCAGCTGGCTCTCATTAAAGACAGCATGAGCACCTGAGCCGAGAGAGACAGAGAGAACTCCTCAACCTGTTGCCTCAGCACTCATGCAAAGCCACCAGGCTCAAGAAACAGGGCAGCAAGGGGGTATTTACAGTTTGCACAGTCTTGCATCTTCTGGGCATTTCAATAATACATAAAAACATCAAACAATTTATCATTCAACATAGATTATTTTTTGTGGTCTAATTTATAAAGATAGAGGCTTCATACACTTTTTCCAAGGTCAAATTCAAGCACTTTTCAAGCACTTTCAATGTCCATTTTCAAGCTTTTCCAGCACCTTACAGCTGTAGTAAATTACACATTTATACAAATACATACACACTCAAAATAGTTCATTCACTTTTTATCACATTAAAAGAGATGGTATTATGCTATAAACAACCAGAACTGTGTTTGGTAATAGCAGAAGGATAAGAAATAATTGAAAAACACATACGTTTTATGTTTCAAAATGTGTCACCTGTTTGTAAGCAGACTTTCCTTGCTATTTAACCTTGCTGAGTCAAGATAAAACAATTATCCCAAAAAATCACTCAACAAATAACTTCACTTCCAACAAATACTATTTACTGAAAATGTCAAAAATAACAACTATCACCTTTGTGGTAGGCAGTCAATCAGCTCTATAACCTTTTCCCACAGTCTTGTGCAAATCAAAACAATAGGAATAGTGGCTTGTTACAACTTAAAACCAGACTGGCAGATCGCAGTCACACACTAGCCAGCGGTGTATGGGTCGCAAGCAAGCTCTTTGAGCCAGGTCTTTTAAGTCAGAGCCAACCCAAATGTTTAAAAGAGCCATAGTGTCCTTTCAACAAAAATCAAATATTTCATGTCCATTTTAACATCTTGGCTGTAAATATGACTCAGTATGTGCTAAGGTACTAGTACAGGCTAAAAAATATATAATACAAAACACAGACTTAATTTGCTTTAAGCCTAAGCTTAGCTATAGCCATGCTTCTCGCATCTTAGGCAGGAAACTCTTCAACAAAAGTAGAATAGTTTCTTGTAAAATATCTCTTAACTTTCAACTTCTTACAAGGCTGAATTCAGCTTCTCATTCGCCAGCTTCTTGTTCGAATTTTTCTGTTGCACCTTAAATGGTGCATGAGGCGCCAGAATACAACTGCTGCACTGTTTAAGGTGGAACGGGACAATTCTAACAAGAATCTGAATCAGCTTCGCGACTTTTTAGTGTTTGACAGTTTCTCGTTGCAGATTAAACATATCCAGAAACCAACTGGAGCGCTTATAAATATTTTATTTTTACCTAAAAATCTAATTCTGCTGTGAAGCCGCAACAGTGCAGTAAAAGAGCCGCATGTTGCCGACCCCTGTTTTAAAAGAACAATGGGAGCCGGCTCCCGTCCAAGAGCCATTTTTCTTTCTTTCTTTCTTTTTTGTAACTTAATATAAGGCAGAATGTTAGGGTGATCCTCTTCGTGGTGGTATAATGAAGAGCCATTTGGGAGCCAAAAGACTTGGCACTTCTGGGTGAGCCAAGCCAAATGATCTTGGTTCACCAACAACAGACGAAATTCCCATCACTATCACACACACAGATGCGCAAGCGAGCCCAGGTGGAGCAGTTTTTCATTTTAGGCTGCGACTTATTTTATTTCTCTATTTAATAACCAAACTATTCAGTCAGATAGCTATTTGTCATGAAAGGAATACAGGTACAATTTCAAGCATTTTCAAGCACTTTATCCAAAATTCCACCACTTTTCAAACCTGGAAAATACAACATTAAAATTCAAGCATTTTCAAGGATTTCAAGCACCCGTACGAACCCTGAGATAAAGAGAGGTTTTAAAATGGTCATGTAAAAACGAATTACTCCTGTTTCTGGTACATAAACCTCATAAGGAGACCTCAAGGAAAAAAAGAAAAAGAAAAATGCAAGATTTGGGCCATTTAAACAACACCAGCTGCTCCTGTGATTCTTAACATCTTCAAGTAAAGTTGTAGCATGCCTGTCTTACTATACAATGACTAACCTCCAAAGTACTTGCCATCACATAGTTGTTTCTGAAAAGACTCTGTCTCCACGATGACCTCTCCACGTTGGATGAAGAACATACGGTCAATAGGGGCACTTTGATGGATGATAATGTCCTTTTCCAGGAAAACTTCATATTGCAGTTTTGGAAGAATCACATTGATGAAGTTTACATCACAATTCTGGAACAGTGGAGAATTTCTTAGCAATTGTCCACAGGTGGCTGTCAGAATTTCCTATGGAGTAGAAAAAATTGATTTTTTTTAGAAGGACATAATATAAAGGAAAAATAATCTAATTTTCAATATCATAGAAAAATAATCCAGAAAGA